GGGAGAAAGATGAGGCTTTCTGCTCCATAAAGATTTACAGCCTCAGAAACCCTGTACAGGGTTGCTATGAGTCGGAACCGACTCCACGGCACATAATCACCACCACCACCATTTAGGGGGTAGAAAAAATGTTAGCATATTTTGAGGGTTAGGTAAGAATTCTTGGTAACTAAAGTTATCACGACAATCTGCTATTAAAAATCATTGTTGTTGTAGTTGTTAAGTGCCATCAAGTAGGTTCCAACCCTTAGTGGCCTTTGTATAAGGATATCCAAGAGGTTATCTGGTGGGTTTCAACTGCTGACCTTGTGGTTCAAACTGACTTTGTGGCCCAGTGCTTACCCTATAGTGCCACAAAGTTTTCTTTTATGAGAAGGCTTTAAAATATTTGCAGAAAATTCCATTTTATCTTTTAATTCTCTGTTTCCACCATTTTTTTGAAGTCCCCTTGGGATATATTTTTAAATGTAAATTCTGTGTGTAAATATAGCTTTCAGTTTTCATGTCTTTTTTTTTCCCCCCTTTTGGTGTGATTGCTGTGGCAATAATTTCTTAAATGACAAATTTAAATTTTTTCGAGATTTTTTTGCCTTCTCTTGGATAACTCAAATGCTTCTTTCTCTTCAAGTCTGCTTTTCTGCTTCTGAGATCAGTTTTCCTTTATTATGTGATGCTCCTGTCTCAGGGACCCTTTCCCAGTCTCCTGTGTTCTTCATCATCTGGAGAGCCCTGCTCCAGCTTCCATCTTGTCCTGCATTACAGTCTTTCCCTTCTTAATCTCCAGTCAAAACCTTCATTCACCAAGAAACTGTTTTCAAAAAGCAGTCGCAGGTCTGTGTTCCAGGATAAGGAATACATATTATTTTATGTCTTGGCTCTGGGGGTTAATAGCTGGACTACAAAGTTGGTTTGAAACGTCAAGTCGGCAGTTCAAGCTCACCAGCTGCTTCTTGGAAACCCTGTACAGTTCAGTATGGGTTGGAACTGACTCGACAGCACTTAAAAACAACAACAAAGAAAGGAAAGGTTGGTGGTTTGAACCCTCCAGGGCCCATCAGAAGAGCAATAAAATAACCTACTGCTGTAAAGATATGCAGCCTTGGAAACCCTATGGAGTAGTCCAACTCATATGGCTGCAATAATGGGTTTGGTGTGGGGGTTTTTTGTTTTTGTTTTTATTTTTGTTTTGGAAGAAAAGGAGCCTGAATTTGGAAGGAGGAAAATGCATGATCATTTAATGAAGTCTTAGAAATCTTTGTGTGGTTATAACTTTGTGGGGTTTTTGTTTTGTTTTGTTTCCCTTCTTTGACATATTGCTAGCATTTAACTGATTTTGGAACTTTGGCAAAACTACACATAATTTTGGAAAGCAAATAAAATGGTGTAAAGCATTTTGCTTCAAAGATTTCAGCTCTGGAATGATCTTGAGCATCAATTCCAGTGGTATATTTTCTCCTGATTGGCTCACTGGTCTATGTAAAGATATGTTCTGATATTTCCTTGCCATTGATACATGAACCCTGCTAAATAGAATTGTGGGAGAATGATGTGACCAATTGCATCTCTGAAGATTTACAACCTGGGAGACCTTGTGGGCAGTTCTGCTTCCTCTTCTATGGTGCTATGAGTCAGAATTGCCTTGACGGTGGTGAGCCTGCTTTTGGTTAAATGGAATTGATTTTTGTACTAGGCATGGAAGTCTTTTACACTTAGTAGATATAGTAGATATATGATGTTGAATTCTTCTTTGAGAAACTGACTTTAAACTCAGGTGTAATTGACCTTTTGTCTTAACTCCTTATCATGTACTATAAGAGACACTTTAACATCTAGTATTTGATTTTAATCTAGGTGTGAGAAATAATTGAGATGTTCATTTAATCTAGGAAAAGTAACATTTCTGTCAAAGATGATCCTGTTCTGGATAATTACTGAGTCCCTTAATTCTGATCTTACAGTAATAAATCATCGTTCAACTATATGTGACATCGTTCCATTTTATCTGTTTTTCAGCTGAAAATGTGTTTCTAAAATGCAACTTCAGCATTGCAGAAATCTTCGGACTGCCTTGTCCCGTCCTCCATACGTGGATCATGAAGGTATTAGAAAAAAAATACCTCTGGCTATGCCTTTCGTTACTACATCTGACAGCAAATGCTGTGGAACATGAAGAAGTCGCGAAGCATGCCATCAAGTTGCATCGAGGAAAGGGAGCAGTCGTCCCTCAGAGAAAACAGTGGGTTCTGGAGAATTGTAGGAAGCTCTTTGGGCTCCTTCGCCAAAAGAACGTGGTTCTTAACAAACTGAAAAATGCAATCAGAGCAGTCGAGAAAAACACTGGCCTCTCGGATGAAGAGAAATTGTTTCAGGTGCACACATTTGAGATCTTTCAGAAAGAGCTGAATGAAAGTGAAAATTCAGTCTTTCAGGCTATCCATGGACTTCAGCGGGCCCTCCAAGGAGATTACAAAGATGTGGTGAACATGAAAGAAAGTAGCAGGCAGAGATTGGAGGCTTTGAGAGAAGCTGCAATAAAGGTTAGTTTTTCCACGTTTTACCAAGTGTAAACATTCATTTACCAAAAGCAAAAATACTTTATACTCTGAGTTTAGAAAATAGAGATAAGGAGAAAAGCTATCATGCCATCTGTTCTTAGTAAAATGCGCATGCTGCATCTTTGACATATAAGAGAATCTTTCCTTTTGTATACCTTAGTGTAGTCGTATTTTATTACTCACAGAAGATTTCAGTATCATGTGTCTGATGCCTTTGATAAACTGACGTGGAAATAAAAAAATTTGTAACTGCAGTCACCATTTTGTTGCGAGTCTGACAGGAATATCTCTTACTGTAAAGTCTGACTCTCTTCTAAGTCCACACACTGAAACAAATAAGTTGCAATTCAGTTATTAACAAATGTATCCTTGCGAATGAAAGGTATTTAAACTGATGAGAAGAAACTGTATTAAATTTGATATGATGTAACTTTTAAAGCTCTGATTTCTTGAGTACCTGTTATGTACCAGGCACCCTAACAGCACTTTATTATTTCATCCTCATAGAAAAGTTGATGGTTTTATTACACAGCTTTAAAAGTATAAAAAATAGGAAGTAATTAAATGTTCTTTACCGAAGTCTGGCATTTTTTTGTTAGAAATTTGCTGATCTGACCAGTGGAGGAGCCATGATTTCCCATGACCTCGGTTCACTCATCTTGTTTATTGCATGTGTGTGAATCCCTGAAATTGCTGTCCTGCATTAGAAATACCCCAACACTAGCCTTTGAATGGATGTTGCTGTCTTACGTGATCATTTTGACAATTGAGACTTTCAGCGCCTCCATTTTAAATAGGGGCACTTGGTAGGATCCAGATCTGTTGTAAAGTTTCATCATAAATAGGAACACGGCTTGCAGAAGTTTGAATGATACTGATTTTTTACATCCATGCTTGATAACATCTGAGCAGTATTTCAGCTGACACTGTTTCATGCTGTGTAACTCCAGGGACTGAGATGTTATTGATTGATAGCTGTCATCACTTGTTAAGTGCCCTTGAGTCTGTTGTGACTCACAGTGACCCTGTACAAGGTTTTTGAGGACCAGCTGGTAGGTGTGAGCCATTGACCTTGCAGTTAATAGTCTAGTGCTTATCCTACAGCTAGAGATCCATGAAATAGGCAATATTAATTTCTGGGTAATGTCCTTTAACTTGTAGGTCCTGTGTAAGTACCTCTTTAAATGTGAATCAATACTTTTAAAGCAGGGTTAATAGTTTGGTTAAGATTTTGGAGCATGAGTATGATTGTATAAAATACATTTATTAGGTATATTACCAGCCCATCTGTCGGTTTCCCAAATTATATTTCTGGAACAGTTTTCCCTTTGTCACCTGGGACCAAGGAGTTCTGGTGGCACTGTGGGTTAGGCATTGGGCTGTTAGCCAAGCAGCAGTTCAAACCCACCGGCTGCTCCAAGGCAGAAAGACCTTGTAGCCTCAGAATCCCCATACGTGCCGTTCTGTCTGTATGGTAGGATCGCTGTGAGTCAGAATTAACTTGAGAGCAGTAGGTGGTCTAATGTTCTGTTTAACTGGGAATTTGACGGTGTATTCTGCTTATATATTCATGATGCTGTTGCTCATAGAGACCCTGTGTAGGGTATCCAAGGAGCAGTTGGTGGGTTTGAACTGCTGACCTTGTGGTTTGCAGTCTAGTGCCTACCCTATAGCGTCACACCAGAATAGATAGATATTAATAGATGGTAGCAACATATTCAAGCATCACAGCTATTTTTAGAGTACATCTCAACTTCACATACATAAAAGGCCTAGGTCCTAGAGCATAATCAGTGTTCTCTAAGTCATTTTATGTGAATAAATAACCTTCAGGAATGATCAGTTTGTTTGTAGTAGCTGAAATATTATATTTTTCGATGTGTATGTATGGAGTCCTGCTGTGATGTTGTAGGATAAGCACTGGATCGCAAGGTCAGTTTGAACCTCAAGGTTGACGCTTCAAACTCACCAGCCACTCCTCGGAAACCCTATACAGGGTTGTTATGGTTGGAACCAACTCTATGGCACTTAACAACAATACAGAAACAGGTTCCCTAAACATTTTTCCAGGTTCAGTTAGTCTGGATCCCATAGAATATATGATCCTCCAGCATTGACTAGAGTTAGAACTGTTGATATGCAAAAGGTGTTTGATATAGAGAATGGTTGATTAGATCCGTTCAGGACAGGTCCCTGAAATTGATAAAAGAAAGTCATGTTCTGGTTTATTACTTAATGAGTCTCACTTTTCACTCGTTACAAATGAATAGGAAGAGACAGAATATGTGGAACTTTTAGCAGCAGAAAAGCATCAAGTTGAAGCTCTTAAAAACATGCAGCATCGAAACAAAAGTTTATCCATGCTTGATGAAATCCTAGAAGATGTCAGAAAGGCCGCAGATCGCTTAGAGGAAGAGATCGAAGAACATGCTTTTGATGACAATAAATCAGTAAGTAATATAAGTAATATTTGAGAACATTTTTTAGTTCACATACTGAGCTGCTTATTGAAAGGATGTACTGTTGAGATTGTTTTGCATGCGTTTTTTTGTTGTTGTTGTTTTGTTTTGTATTGTATTATTTTCAATGTATATTGAAAAATGTAGACAAACAAAAAACACTTCTCTGTCATACAGAAGTAATTTTATTTCATCTTGCAGATATAAACAAAAATTCCTGTTGTTTCTCCCCCCCCCCCCCCCCCCCCCCCGAAGTTGATCTGGACTCTTGGTGAGCCCGTGTATGTCACATCTGTGCTCCACAGGGTTTTCAGCGACTGATTTTTCAGAAGTAGGTCGCCAGGCTTTGCTTCTGAGGCCCCTCTGGATCGACGCAAACCTCCAACCTTTCAGTTAGCACTTTAGCACATTAACCATTTCACCTCTCAGGAGCCCAACAAATAAACTAGTCCTGTATTTTCTTTAGAGATATTCAGTCAATAGCCAGTTCCCTATTAGAAATGATGAGTCTCCATTCTCCAGCTTTGCCACCCAACTGGACTACGATTTGGTCTCAAGAAAGTTGGCACGAGACAGTAGAATTTGAATGCTTATCAACCAGAGAACAAATAAGCTCTCTTTACAGGAAGTGATCTCTGTATCGGCATGCAGAGTTTTAGGATATTTACTCCAATATTGTAACATTCATTATTATTATTCGTTATTAATCATCATTCAGAATTCTAATATTCTGAGTCCTGGTGTGGCACTGTGGGTTAATGCACCAGACTGCAAAGCCGTTTGAACTGCAAGATAGGTGGTTCAAACTCTATGCAGGGTCGCCATGGGTCGCAGCTGACTCTATGACACTTCACAACAACGTCCTAATATGTCCAAGATTGTAAGGAAACCATTGTGGTTGATACTGCAGCACACTCAGTATGGAGAAGCATAGGGGGCAGGGTTAAGTAATGAAAGCAAATCAGAAAAAGATTAGACAAGAAAAGTGGGGGAATAAAAACACAGTGATGAGAAGAACAAATGGTTTTAAACTATACTAACTGTGAGGAGTCCGGGTGTGGTGCTGTGGGTAATGCACCAGACTGCAAAGCCGTTTGAACTGCAAGGTCAGTGGTTCAAGCTCACCAGCTGCTCCTTGGAAACCCTATACAGGCCGCTATGGGTTGGAATCGCCTCGACAGCACTTATCAACAACAACAATTATGATAATGAGAAAACTCAAATATCTTAAGAGCTATGAATTTTCAAAAGAATATACCCTGAATCAGGCAAAGTTGATGTTTGTAAGTAGAAATCCTAAACATTCCAACCCTTAAATTGTTTTTTTAGCGTAATCTGATAAAATTTGATGAACTTGACCTACACCTATGGATGCAGTAGCTCAAAAGAGGAAACAAATCCTTACTGCAAGAATCATTCCCACCCCCTCCATACACAGAGTAGACAGGAATAGGCAACTTGGACATTGGCTACCCAAAATGGGGGCAGGGACCTACAAAGGCAAGAAGTGACTGGCCTACAAGCTTTCAAGAGGGAACCTAGATCCAGAGGGCCTGGAGGAAGGTAGAATCTCCACTGAGTAGTATCCAATCTGTCTAGGCGGGGCTGATGAAAGGAAATGCAGATAGGTCTCTTGTGATACAATAGTGAATAATTGTTATCAGGACTGATTGTGAGGGTTGGAAATGTAAAGGTAGATGTTTTATAGCAAGGAGGGGAGTGATTAACTTTTCAGTCTAGGAGCGGCGGAGGTCCCTAGGACCATCAATGGAGAAGAGTGGAGAGTGGGACCCTACCCAGAGAAACAGTGATGCCAGAGATGGAGGCAGAGACGATGACGTGGAGAGATGGAACAGCTGGGGACTTTAGATCCAGAGAGGGAGAGGGGCTGTGTGTTGACAACCGGGGTTTGGGGAGCAGGCTTGTGGTGTATCCCCTTTGGTTGGTTGATGATGCATGGAGCGGATTGTAACTCTGGCAATGAAATGATATACAACAGAATGAATGTAAAACCAATGTTCTCCTATGTAAACTATCACATAATTCACAATAAAACATTGATTAAAAAATTTTATTTTATTTTTTGTTTAAAAAAATAATAACTGTTCCTAAATCATGCTGCTGCTATTGTTAAGTGCTATCAAGCCAATTCTGACTCACAGCAACCCTGCATAGGGTGTCCGAGGCTTAAATCTTTCCAGGAACAGAAAGGTTCATCTTTCTTCTGCGGAGCGTTGGTGGGTTCAAACTGCCATGCTTATGGTTCACAGTTCAATGTTTACCCAGCAACGCCAGCAGTGTTGAATTCATGCTCATGCTCATCTATTAATCTCTAGTTACATTTGACAAATAATACAAATATATTCTGTCTAGAATTTGCTTTCTAAAAAATGAATTTGAAAACATTTCATTGATTTTAATGATGTGATATTGGCATATTCTCACAGGTGAAAGGGGTCAATTTTGAGGCCGTTCTCAGAGTGGAAGAAGAGGAAGCCAGTTCCAAACAAAACATAACAAAACGCGAAGTAGACGATGATTTGGGTCTTAGTATGTTAATTGATTCCCAGAATAACCAGTATATTTTGACTAAGCCCAGAGATTCAACAATCCCACGTGCAGATCACCACTTTATAAAGGTAGTCTGTCTGTCTGTTTTTACTCTTCTCTTAAAATTGTGTGCTGTGCATAACTTTCTCCACTCTGCACTTAGGTAAACACAAGTATGATTGAGCTGTGTTTTGAACAACCTTCCTCCAAACAGAAAGATTCTACTAGAATGCCCTAATTTCTGTCTTTTATTTTATTTTTTTAAGATTTTGAACCCTTGTCTCCTTTTAAAAAATTTTAAAGTAACGATTGCATTCATTGTAATGACACGAAGTGTATGTACCCTTTGGTGAATGTGGGCCTGTTGGGCCATACAGTAAACCTTCACCCAATGTACAATCTACAGTTAAAAGAATTTTTCCCTAAAAAGGTGTTGTAATATTTAAAATGAAAATTCATTTTGATTTTGTGAATTTAGTGTTGTTGTTGTTGTTAAGTACCGCAGAGTCAGTTCCGACTCATAGCGACCCTGCACAGGGTTTCTGAGGCTGTAAATCTTTACGGGAGCAGAATGCCTCATCTTTCTCCTGCGGAACCGCTGGTAGTTGCTAACTGCTGACTTTGAGGTTGGCAGCCTGACTCATAACCACGACGCTACCAGAGCAAATTTAGTAGACTTCTTGAAATTAAGAGTTCTCTCTGATGGACTGAAAATGTCAGCTATCTAAAAACTATTTTCACCAAAATATAAAATTCTGGTCAAGTATCATAAACAGATGTTCCGTGGGTTATAAATGTCTGACATGTAAACCCATAGTTCCTACTTGACAATCCCTGAAAGACTTCTTGTATTAACATTTCAGGGTATATATGACGGTTCATAAAAACACATGTGTGCTAGCTACTTTGTAATGTGACTCAAAACATTATTATTACAATTTTATGTTAAAGATGTTTTAGTGTATTTCGAAGTATTTCTCTTTTTTTATGCATAGAAAGCTACATGTTACATACTAAGACAGAAGTTAACTGATAAGAACTGCACCTAACTGTGACTTACAAATTCATCTCACAGATAGCCTTAGGGACGGAGCTTGTTTATAACCTGGGGACTATGTATGGCTTTATTTAGACATGGGGCGCCGAATCTGGGGATTAACTCCCCAGACAGTGACTAGCAGTACAGAGTGATTCAGTGCACTCCTCGGAGGAAACCAGCTTAATGAAAGGTTGGGGATTCTTTAAATACTTGAAGCTGATAGTGCTATGGTTGGAAGTGATCACGGTCTGGATCTGGACTTCAGGTCGTAACAGATACAGGAACGACAGAGTGCAGACTTTTTAGGGAAGGCTGTCAGATCTCAACAGAATGGGCCAGGACTCAGCTCGTTAATACTGAACAGGTAAAGAAACCAAGGTGAAGAACCTAATGTTAAAGGGAGTGCATACACAGAGACTGCGGGAAGAAGACTGCAGCTTGAATAAGTACAATCAGAGACACTCAAGGGCTCATACCATATGTTGAACATCTAGTGATCGAAGTGAATCAATAGATAAAAGTCAGCAGATTACTTTCTTGATTATGGTTGCCATGGGAACTGGGAGGGGCTGAGTCTGTAGATTCAAGACATTAATTAGTGTCCTCAATGAAAAAGTCTCCACACAAGATTACAGGAGTCTTTACTATGAAGCTATTCTTTTTTTCTGGAGAAAATATTTGAGACTATGTAAATATGCTGTTCCTCATCAAACTCTCACCCAGTAGTTTTAGACCCTATTGATTTTTGCCTGCATTGGTGTATATAGTTGTATTAAGTTTGTATGGTAAAAAGGCCAATAGTAAAGGTGCCTGAATTAGTCTGAGGACACCAACCATGAAGATGTCCCAGATCAGGTAAATCAACGCAATTACAATGTTCAGAAGCCTTCCAACACTATTAAACTATGTCTAAAATAGACACAGTTTACTGGAATTATTAGATCATCAAGAACTAACTTGATTGACTCAGAATACATTTTTAAAGCTTTCAACTTTTCAGAGGCACAGAGGAGTACATAAACTCCTCTTAGATTCACCATCTACCCCTTATCCTCATTAAATGACTGAGGATGGTATCCTGTTGTATTTATTCCATCAACCAACCCGTCTCCTACATAACGTACAGCCAACCGTTATTTTAAATTTCTCATTTTTCTTGTGTTTTTTTGCATTAGGACATCGTTACCATAGGAATGTTGTCTTTACCTTGTGGCTGGTTATGCACAACAGTAGGGTTGCCTACAATGTTTGGGTATATCATCTGTGGCGTGCTGCTGGGGCCATCCGGACTAAACAGTATTAAGGTAAGAACACAGTTTTACTCTCTTGTCAGCTCACTGTTAGAATAGACTATTAAAGAAGCATCACAAAGAGTTAAAAAAAAAAATGAACTTGAATTGATCAAGTTTCTAGAAAGTCATGTTAAAGAGATACCCTTTAAAGTTTCATAGGAAATCTTCTCTAACTCAAATGAAAATCATTTTATTTTGTTAATGAATGGATGACTTGACTAGAGAAAATAATCCTGCTTCTTTCTTTATATAAAATAATGTTCTTACTGTTTTCAGTGAAGGTTTACAGCAGTTTCGGTTCCCATTCAACGGCTTCTATACAAGTTGCTCAGTGACAATGATTAGAGTCTCATTCTTCTTCTTCAAGGGGTAGTTGGATTCTGTTCGAGGTTTGAATAGGGGGCAACAGTCTTGGGAAGTCCTCCAGAGTCAGCCAGGTTCGGTTCCACCGTCTGTCTCCACTCTTTGAGTGTTCACTTATCATGGCCCCCATCAAAGCAGTGGTGACGGTAGCTGGGCACCGTCTAGTTCTGGGCTCAGGGAAGATGAGGCTGTGGTTCACGAAGATTGTTTGTCCTGTAGACTGGTTTCAGTTTTGAGTCTTTGGTACCTTTTTTCTCTTTTGCTCCTGGTGAGCAGAGCTCATAGTTACATCTTCAGTGACTCTGCAAACTTTTAAGACCCGCATTGGTTATTGGTGGTGATGTGCCGTGGAGTCGGTTCCGACTCATAGTGACCCTGTACAGGGTTTCCGAGGCTGTAAATCTTGACGGAAGCAGAAAGCCTCATCTTTCTCCCACGGAACCGCTGGTAATTTTGAACTGCTGACCCTGAGGTTAGCAGCCCGATTCATAACCACTACACTACCCTAGACGTTACTTATATAGCTAGGATATAGAACATAACTTTAGGAACTATAGGATGCCAACTGACTGAGTCCCATGAGGCCAAACTCAGAAATCCAATTTGTTGAGACATATCAAAGTTGAACTGTGCCCCCATGCGCATGATTATATGACCATACAGATGCATGCATCACCTTGAACTCAGTGACTGTGGGCCTGGTTTCTCAAGTACATACACACGTGTATGGAGTCCTGGTCTGCAAAGTCAGTTTGAACTGAAAGGTCAGTGGTTCAAGCTTATCAGCCACTCCTTAGAAACTCTATGCAGGGTTGTTGTGGGTTGGACCCAACTCAGCGGCACTTAACAACAGCAACATACACACATATGTTAGGTGTGGGGCTGCTAATCAGAAGATTGATGGCTCAAACCCACCAACTGATCCTCAGGAGAAGAGATGAGGCTGTCTGCTCCCGTAAAGATTTGCTGTCTCAGAGCCCATAGGTAGCATTGCTGTGCGTCACAATTGACTCCATGGCAGTGAGTTTATATGCATGTACAGGAGCCCTGGTGTCACCTTGGTTAAAACCCTCATCTGCCTACCAAAGGCTCCGCAGTTCAATCCCACCAACTGCTCTGTGGGAAAAAGATGTGGTGGCCATCTGCTTCCATAAATTTTTATTCCAAAAATAAAGATTTACAGCCTTGGAGACCCCAGAGGCCATTCTTCTCAGTCTTCCAGCTACTCTGACAAGAATTCTACTCCATCCTCAATTAACCCTGTGAGATAAAGCATAATTCAAGGTTGGGACTGGTTCAGAGGTGGGGTTTGGTTTGCTTACACAAGCCAGAATCCTGCTGTGGTTCTGGACGTTAAGCAGTCGACTGCATGGTCAGTTTGAACCACACGGTTGGTGGTTCAAATTGAGCCGCTCCTCGGAAACCCTATGCAGAGTTACTATGTGTCGGAATTGACTTGATAGCACTTCACAACAACGTGCACATGTATGCGTACAGCCACACAGCCACACATACTGAATGCTGTTGTTTTAACATTTTATGTGTCGTAGAAATTCAGTAATCTTTCATAGGCCATAGCAGTTACTAAGAAGTTCTTTTTTGTTTCGTTTCTGGTCATTCTTTTCTATCCTATAGGGTCACTGTGGATCTGAATTGATTCAAGGGCGGTGGGATGGGTGTTGGGTTTGGTGGCCCTATTGTGGCTAGGTGCCATTGAGTCCGCTCCAACTCTCAGTGACTCCATACACAAGGAAACAAACCCCTGCCCTGTCCTGCACCATCCTCACAGTGGTTGTTAGACTCGACCCCACAGCTGCTGCCAGTGTACCAGTCCAGCTCATTGGAAGTCTTCCTCAGAAGTCCTTCTGTGTGTGTACTTTTGATTTGACATTATTTTCATCAAGCTCTTTACATTTCACCCTTACTTGATATTACCTTTCCTACTACCAAAACACAAATGCCTGTTATCTAGTGGGAGTTGTGCTGTGGCCTGAACTGCTAACCACAAGGTCAGTAGTTCAAACCCACCCGCCACTCCCCGGGAACCCTATAGAGGGTTACTGCGAGTCAGAGCTGACCTGACAGCAGCAGCCATACAGAGCAGGCCTGGGGACCTTTTTTTGCCAAAATTTGTAACATCAATCGCAGTTTATACAAAATTTGCAACTTAAAAGTTGTCCTCCTGTATTTGCTCAAACATTTTAATTAACTCACCCCTTAATGTGATGGCTGGAAGTGCAGTTGCCATGGCAGGGCCAGACTAGATGGTTTCACCCTTGGGCCAGACATTCCCCACCCCATCTAGAGAGTGAGCCTCACCTGCTCCCCCATGCCTGGTAACCCTAATGAACACTGTGCCTAAATAGCCAGCATCCCTGTCTTTTAAGTCATTGGACTTAAGTCCTGCCCTAACCTAGGATGCCCCTGTTTTAAATTGATTATTTCTGCAAAGACCATGTTTCCAAATTACATCACAGTCAACGTGCTAGGACATGATCTTTTTTGGAGATATCTTTCAACCAATTACAGGAGGAAAGATGCAAATGAAAGTGGGCAGGATCTATAGTGTGACTAGTTGGCAAAAGAAGTCTGCCTGTCGTGGGTCCAGGCTAACATCAGAACTCAGCAGAAGTAACAGTCTACTACATAACCCAGTGTTCGCCAAACATTTTTCAAACATTGAAGAGTTAGTAGCCATGAAACCTTAAATGTAAATGGTATAAAATAATATAAAATTTTAAATAGTATAAAAGCATTCTCTACCTGGTGTGGTGCTGTGGGTTAATGCGCTGGACTGCAAAGTCAGTTTGAAAAACAAGGTTGGAGGTTCAAGTTCACCAGCCGCTCCTCGGAAACCCTCTACCAACTTGACAGCACTTAACAACACCAACAAGGACTTTAGTAATAGTAAATATAGTTTTGAAATACGGAAACAAAACAAGTGTAGAACCTGAGAATACTATATATTAAAGCCTGTGAAACGAGCCAGATACAGCCCTCCTGAGAACACTCACACACTCTCACCATGCTTAATCTCCAATAGGAACAAAACAGTATGTGTTAGTTACGCATTCAATTCAGACATGAGATTTAATTCCCCACTCCCCTAAAAGAAAGCAGGTAAAAGCAGCAATGCATGAATATGGAAATAGGGAAAGTACCAGCTAGTCCTTAGGAGACAAACTGTGTAGTCCTTTAGCTAATAAGGAAGTGTGTTTAGGAGGGGATCGTTTTATTGTATATAGAAGCTATTCAGAGAATTCTTTTCTTTAAAAACACTGCTTTTATTGAGAGAGCCCTGCTCACTGTATTATGTATTATTATTATTTACTGAGATAGCCATACTGACTGTGTTATTTATTGTATTATTTACTGAGATAGCTCCCTGACTGTTTATTTATTGAGATGGCTCTACTGACTGTTAATTCACAGTGTTTTCTCGACTACACTTACATGTTAAACATAAAATTGTTCTTGTTTTTCAGTCTATTGTACAAGTGGAAACATTGGGAGAATTTGGTGTTTTCTTTACTCTTTTTCTTGTTGGCTTAGAATTTTCCCCAGAAAAGCTGAGAAAGGTAAGGAAAGTGCTGATCACTTTGTACTGTGCCCCAAGCTGCTAAGTAGAGTGTGTTGTTAGCGTTTTTACCTTTAAAATTCATTGATGGCTTGATTGTCAAATATTTTTAAAGTAGATACCGTATTATAGTTTGATGTTCTTGGAACAAATATGAAAAAATGGCAGGGTTGGAAAGGTAAAAATGCGTTGAGTGCGTTACATGGAGAAGTCCACAAGCTGAGATGTGCGGTCCTCATGATTTCAACATGAACAAATGACTCCCACCAAGATGGTACCAAAGGGTGAACAGGACTTGACTAATCAATATGCTACACTGAAAAACAGTGAAGTCCTGAATAAGTGGTACATTTTGATTCTCTGTTACTGTCGTTGTAAAATGAAAATCTCTAAAAGGTTCAAAGTAGTTAGGATTGTGTGAGAAAGCATTGGTGGAACAGTGGTTCAGCTGCCAGCTGATTTCCAGGTCAATGGTTCAAACCCACCAGCCGCTCCATAGGAGAAAGATGTGGCCGTTTGCTTCCAGAAAGACTTACGGTCTTGTGGATTTAGCTTATTGTGGGGACACTTCTTACAGTCCGAGCCACCCAGAGTGTCTGTATTTCTACGTGATTGTCCTTGTCAAGTACACCTTTTGTGTTCTGGTGCCTTGTGGGTGGTGCTCAAGGTGATCAAGAAGATAGGTGTTACTGTGTTTTAAGTATTTGATGTTGCGTTGCATCTATTAATGCCATTGAGTCGGTTCCAACTCCCACAACCCTGTGTAGGGTTTCCGAGGAGTGGCTAGTGGGTTTGAACCACTGACCTTGCAGTTCAGTGCTTAGAGAGCCACACCAGGACTCTGGAAATCTTATTAGACTTTAGGTAATAAAATAAGCACTCATGACCCAGATAAATGAAGCCGGTTTTTAATTGATTAGCCCTTTTGGAGAGCAATCTAACTGTTGGATTTAGGAGAATTTTGATCTTCTGTCCTTTGATCCAATAGTTCTAGTTTGAGTCTTTATCAAATGGAAAGAATCATAAAACAAAATTAGCCCATAAAAGATTTACAGTGCCTCTGTTGGACTCCTGGACTCCTGGTGTGGCACTGTAGGATTAGCACTGGACTGTGAACCACAAGGTCAGTGGTTCAAATCCACTGTCTGCTCCTCGGAAACCCTAAATAGCATTGCTACAAGTCGGAACCGGCTTGACAACACTTGACAACACTTAACAACAACAACACTGAACTCTTGGAGTCCTCGTATGGTGCTGTGGGATAAAGGCACTGAACTGCAAGGTTGGTTTGAACCACAAGGTGAGTGGTTCAAACTCACTAGCCACTCCTCCAAAACCCTATATAGCATCGCTATGAGTTGGAACCGACTCAACGGCACCTAACAACAAGAACATTGGACTCCTGGTGTGGTGCTGTAGGATCAGCACTAGACTGTGAGTCATAAGGTTGGCAGTTCAAACCCACCAGCTACTGCTCCTTGGAGACTTGTCACAGGGTCACTGTGAGTCAGAGCCAACTCAACAGCGCTTAACAGCAACAACTTTACAGCACTTAAAAAAAAAAGATTGAAATCAATCTGAACTGTTCCGTAATTAAATGAACTCTATGACGTAAGCACCCCCATGTGACATACTAACTACGTGGGTGGGATGTTTTATAGTCATGAAGGCTGTACAAATGTATAGTAAAAAAAATCAAACTCCTTGCTACAGAGCTAAGCTTTAAAAATTGAGCATGTAACATTTCCACAGCTTTATAAAAGAAGCACATATGCAAAGAAAAAAAAACCATTAGGAAAGAAATGTACCAGATAACTGTAGATGACTCTTTTCTTTTTCTTTTCCATGTTTTCCAAATTTTGTAAATAAGCAATATGTACTTTAATATAATGAAGAAAAGAAGCTTTTCTTTTTAAATTTCTGTTTGCTTTCCAGGATTGACTACTCTTATTTCACTGAAATCTTTCTTTGTATCCTCTTTTCCCATTTTCTTCCTTAATTTATCCTGTTAGCGTGGCACTTTCGGTTTCTTTGACCTTTTTTTTACTGACTGATAACTCTGTTTGCCAACTTACAGATTATTCTCACTTCCTAAATGCTTCTCAGTACATGTTTCCTCAAAAAACATTCTGAATTATGTTTGTGTTTTCTCTGGTAATATTGTATATTTTTTATGTTTTGTGGGTGATAAGATCCATATATTAATTTCTAAAGAAAATGGCCCATGAAAATGGCCCCATTCTTCCTGCCCTCTCTGTGGGGATCAAAGAAAGTGTGGCGTTTGAGGGTCTTCTGCTTCACCACGCTGGTGCAGGACCTGTAAGCATAAAAACAGTATTTTATTAGGTGCCTTAAAAAAAAGACCTGCCCTCAGTTTCATGTGGTAGCTTATTCTGAACCTAGTACCACGTGGGGCAGGGGTGAAGGGGCTTCAAGTAGTTCATGGGAAAACTGCATCATCTTTAATTCCACCTTTCCACGAACTTTTTGAAGTCCCTTGTTTGTGTGTTTAATTTAGAAACGATTCACAATGAGCAACAATGGGTCTAAGTTATTGTGACTTACAGCAAAGAGGGTGGTAACATTCTGGTTAAGTCATTAGCTAGCTACCTTCACCAGCAGGCTCGTGAACTCTTTTAGCTGTTCAGCTAGAATTTGAGGAATTTGGAAAATCAAAGTTTCCCCTGGCTATAAATTGTCCTGATTCGTTTTTCTCTATTATAATATTTAATGTTAAATAATAAAATAATGTCATATAAAACAATGCTAACAATAATTTAATATTACATAAAAGCTTCATATCTTTCTTAGTATTGATGTTAGTTATCTAATGTTGGGACGGTTTGCATTTAGTTATTTATATAATAAACTGTTTCCCCAAACATTGCTTTAAATGTGTACTTGGTCATATAAGACTTAGGAGGTCTTGGGAAGGAAGAATTTATATAATAGAGTAGGAAATCATCTTGAGCTATTCAGGGTGGCTGTAAGTCTCCTGAGTGGAAAGAAAGTCAATTGGGAATCAAAAGCTCTGAGATGAATCATCTTCGCTCTGCATCTAACTTGCTGATTTTGGATTGTAATCTTTTATCTGGAATGGAACTATAAAGTGGTCTTTAAATGTCCCTAGTGTGGCGCTGTGGGTTAATGCGCCAGACTGTAAAGTCTCTTGAACGGCAAGGTGGGCAATTCAAGCTCACCAGCTGCTCCTTGGAAACCCTATACAGGGTCGCTATGGGTTGGAATTGACTCGACAACACTTAACAATGTCCCTTCAATTTTGAAATCGTTTTTTTTTTTTTTTGTCTCAGCCAATTCCTAAACTTTTAGAGAGCAAGCCGTTGCTGTTGCCACCCAGTGGCAAACATTAAAACTTGACACACCCTGTGACTGCAGTTCTCGCCAAGAAGTTTTCACCTCCAAGAATACGTCTTCATCCTTTTTGAAGCCCATGGACATAGGCTGCAAAATGTCTACCCAGTTAATCACATTATTAAGTAATTCATTTATTTTTCTCTTTTGATTGCTCAGGTATGAATTAGTGCCCCAGCTTTCGAGCAGTCTGAAACAGCCATTGTTACTGTTCTGAAATGATACCCCATTTAGCAGCTAAGGAATTCGTTATGTGTTGCTGTCACGGGTGACAGAATTCTTAAAACATATTAACAATTACTAGAAATGATCACTCAGAGAAAGGTATTGAAATATCCTAAAGGTTTTATTAGGAACTGCTCAAAAACGTTTTAAGCCTAAAAACTACTTACTATTTGATGCTGACCCTAACTAGAGAAAAGATTGAAGTTGTCAAGGACTTCATTCTTCTTGGATCAACTATCAACACTCGCGGAAG